GAAAGAGCGAGGCAGTTCTCAGTGAAGCAAGCCCTTATTATACGATCAGCCAGCCACTCCTATGTGTCATAGGGAAGCTTTACATTTATTCTTTCCACTGTGAGATTTTGATAATTTTCCTATGTGAAATAAGCTCTCAATAGGTAGATTAGCAGGAGGAAAAATAAGAGGAAGAAAATGGGAGCCATACACAAAGAATGAGATTCAGAGAAGGGCTGGGCAAGAGAAGCTTGTCTGAGCTGGACAGTGGGATTGGGGTTTGGGTCTGGGGAGCAGAAGAGAGGTACACCAGGCCATGGAAGGCTGGGGGAGCAGGTGCATAGAGAGAAAGGGTGGTCACGTTATGCAGACAGTCTCCCAGAGAGCTGCCAAATGTGGTCATCTGTCCGGGCCAGGTGTCATGCCCCAATCTCTTTTTCCTATGGAAAGATCTTTCCTAGCCAGGCACAGTGGCCCACGCCTATAATCCCATGGGTCGTGGGTTGGGAGGCTGAGGCAGGAGGATTGCAGTTCAAAGCCAGCCTCAGCCAAAGTGAGGGGCTAAGCAACTCAGGGAGACCCTGTCTCTAAATAACATACAAAATAGGGCTGGGGATGCCGCTCAGTGGGTGAGTGCCCCTGAGTTCAACCCTGGTACAAAAAAAAAAAAAAAAACCAAACAAAAAACCTTTCTTAGACAGGAGAGAGCCTATGGGATAGAAAAGCCTGTTTACATATTCTCTGGTTATTTACTTTACGAATGTATATTTATTTTACAGATGTAAATTTCCTTTACAAAGAGGCAGAATTTCAGAGTTAATCCTGTCTGCAGTTTCTCAGAATAGCCATCTTCAAATATGCCAAAGAAACCTATTGTGGGATGGCATATTTTTGGGGATCCCACGGTACTCACCCAAGAAAAAAGAAAGCATATGTCTACACAAAGAAGGTACAAAAATGTTCATCACAGTTTTATTTGTAAGAATGAAAAAGAAAAACTGCACATGGTGCAAATATCTATGCATAGGTGAATAGATAAACCAGTCGTGGTACATCCATTAAATGGAATATAACTCGACAATAAAAAGGAGTGAGCTACTGATACACGCACCCTCACGCAGGAATATCAAAGCATTTACTCTGAGTGAAAGAAGCCAGACAAAAATAAACAGTAGAATTCTGTATGATTCCATTTATGTACAATTCCAGAAAACTAAAACGAATCTGTAGTGGCAGAGGCACATCATGACTGCCTAGGGATGGGGCATGGAGAAAGGAGGAGGGAAGAGACGGAGGGACATTAAAGCAGGTGATGGATGTGTTCACTCGTTGGATGGTGGTGATGATTTCATGGTGTGTGTACACGTGTCCAAACTTCACTCTTCAAATATGTGAGGTTAATTGTACGTCAACTATACCTCACTTCCACAAAAGATTAAAGAAATTTGAATGAAAAGTCCAAGAAAACAAAAGAGACTATCTTACCTCTTTCAATGTTCCTTTTACTAGAAGGTGTACTTTTCATCTGTCAGAAACAAATAGGGAACCCCCTACCTCCCCCTCTTTGCAATACTCAATTCTCCTCCCCTGGAAAACAGGTCAAGGTGAAGGAGAGGTTGCTGGAAGCTTGTCCTTGCCCCTGGGAATGGTGAAGAGGCAGAGAGGATGGGTTCAAGATCAGCATGCTTTATTCTAGCCTGGAACACAGTTAGATAAGGTGTGCATCCTTAACAGAGTGTCACAGGAACATAGTCCTGTCACCTTCATCGTCGATCACTGATGTTCTTAACTTTGCTTTTTCACAACTCTTCCTTGGGGAATGGAAGAGGTGAGGTTATTAAACAGCATTGATATCCTGCCTGATCTCCCATTCCATGATAGGTCTGAGGCTTCAACTGGAGTCCAAGTCCCTATCCACAGTGCCATGTCGCCTGTTACAGAAATGCGTAGGAGAGGTGGATAAGGAGCTATGCCCTGGTTCATGACAACTTGTTATGACAGTCATCGTGGACATGGATTGTTAAATGTCTTCTCCCACTGTTTTTGGCAGTGAGGAGGTTTTCACATCCCAGGACCCCCCTCAGTAGTACTGCTGAAGTGTGAGAGATGTGTCTGGTTGGTAAAGCAAGGAAGAGAGACTATGAAACAAGTGGGAAACAGCACAGCCCTGAACTCCTGTCAGGGTGAGCATCTCAGTCAGGTTTAGGGACAGTTCTCGGTGCACTCACATCCCTCAGGCTGTGAACCGTGAGTATTCTCGTGCCCTGACTGAGGTATCCTGTTGCACAAAGAAGACCCTGGTCTTTCAAACTCCGGTCTCACCATTTCTTTCTCAGCTGTGTGACTGGGGGCAGTGACATTCATCTTGCAAGGATTTGTGAAGAGCAAATTGATTGTTGAACAGGGTGTAGTTCAAAATCCGGGCAATACTAATAACAGCCCTTGGGAAGACTCCTACCAGTGTTTGAGGAAGGGTTCCCAGCACCTGATGTTGGTGGTGGGGGCCTGGGTCTCTGCAGCCTGCAGCCTGGGCTCTATCCTAGCTCCTGGGCTTACCAGCTATTTGACCTTGGGCGGTTTGCTCCTCTTATGCAAAAATGGAGCTAATAATAGAAACTACTTGGGGTTTTGCTGTGAGGGCTGAAGCATAGAAATTGCTTAGAACAGTATCAGGCACCAAGCAAGCTCCCGAAATTCTCATCATTGTTACTGAGCTAAGCACTGGGGGTTTAAGGCTTCTTCCTGCAATCTGACTCACTGGTATGTCAAAGTAAATATGGAAAATAGGATCTGGGGCTTCGCAAAATTTGCTTGGTTGACAAAATTTCAAAATATGCCTACCTTCCTTTGGGGAGCAAATGATAACCAACCACTAAATTATGCATGAAACAGCTCAGAAACCACTGGTGAAAAATAAGTCTCCATTATAGAACCTCCCCAACTCCATTTATCCAAACTTGAGAATTTCCCTCCAACCCTTCTGGCATTTGCCCCCTTTCTGCTTTTTATTTGCTAGAATTCAGAATTGAACAGGGTCTTACAGAGCCTCAGGTCCAGCTTTTTTGTTTGTTTGCTTTTTCCTGGTACTGGGGATTGAACCCAGGACATTCTACCTCTGAGCTACATCCCCTGCTCTTTTTAAAATTTTGTTTTGAGGCAGGGTCTCCCTATGTTGCTGAAGCTGGCCTCAAACTTGAGATCTTCCTGCCTCAACCTTGTAAGGAGCACGAATTATGGGGGTGCACCACTGTAGCCTGGCAGGTTCAGAGTTTTATATAAGAGAGAAAAGGCTGAATCATGGCCGAAGCACATTCAGGTGTGCAGTTTATGAGAAGTGGAGGAAAGAACAGGAAGGGTGAGGAGGCAGTGTGTCTTCACCTTTCCCACCTGAGCAGATCCCTGACTGGGGGCCAACTCATTTGCTGGGGGAGCCTAATGGGACTGGAGAAAGAGTAACCCCAGGATACATATCAGGAGCCGAAAAGTCTTCACATCTGAATTAAGTGATTCTCCTTCCAGGTAGAAAATCATCAGTAATTCTCTTAGTAGAGAGAATTTCTAAGTAATTCTCACTCTAAGAAAATAATTAGGAACTAGGACAAGGATAAATATACAACTATGTATTTCCCAGAATACATCTCCTCAGGGACAACTTACGTCCAACAATCGAATGTAATATTTTAAATTACAAAATTTTCCCTTGTCATGGGAAAATGTTCAGGATGTCATGTTAAGGATATAAAAGTACAGTATGAACCATACTATATTTTAAAATATACAGCGAGAAGAAAACTTTATATTTTTCTGTAGCTAAAAGTCTTCAGTATATTATTAGTATTACTTTTTTGGGGGGTACTGGGGAATCCAACTTGGGGCACTTGACCACTAAGCCATATCCCCAGCCCTATTTTATATTTTATTGAGAGATAGGGTCTCACTGAGATATTATTTCATAATAGAAAAATTATTTCAAAAATTGGGGTGAGAATTCTGCTTCCTACATGGCAGAGGAAAAGACACACTGTGTGTTTACCCACCAGCATTCATGGAGTAGACGCAGAGGACTCTGAGAGGGATACAAGGAAGGAACAGAAAGGAAGGAGGCAAATAATATCGATTGAGCAGCTCACTTTCCAGGTGCTTTATGTTCATTACGTTATTCCATCATCACACCATCCATGTGCCCTCACCTCAATACAAACCAAGATTCTCCAAAGAGAATGAATTTATTCCGGAGTGAACATTGCAATGGAATATGTGTGTCATAGGAAACACTATGAGTTTATTCAAGAAGGTTGAGGTAAGAGTATGTTTTTAAAGGCAAACTGAGGTGGATTACAGATTACAGGTTCTTATGAAACAATCATCCTTAGCTATGAGATCAATAACAGCAGTGGTGCCAGTCCAAGGTGGAACAGTTACTGGACAGACATCTTTGCAGAGGCCTTTATGCAAGGTTGTGGTTTTGTTGTAGGTTTTTTCTTTCTTCTTCTTCTTTTTTTTTTTTGTGGTGCTAGGGTGGAACCCAAGGCCTCATGCATGCTAGATAAATGTCCTGCCACTGAGCTGTATCTCCAACCCCCTTGGCAGAGTCTTTTGTGATCATTCTTGTTATCAGGCAATTGTGTGTGAGAATCTTCCTTCCTGGACTTCCCTGCTCCATTTGTCAAGGACCTTGACAGAAGTGATGCCATTTTGATTCTGACAACTCTCACACAAGTGAGGTAAATATAATTATCCAATTTCTCAGTAATTATAATTAGATACATACATACACACACACATACACATATATATTTTCTTTTTAGTAGATGAGGAAATGGTTATGACCAAGCAATGAAGGAATTCTAAGTCTCAGGGCTTGTCACTGAAGGAGCAGGACTTGGCCCAGTCTCCTCTGCTTCCAAGCTCCTATTTTTCCCACCACATCTTGCTGCCTGAATGCGCAGGGAGCGTTGGCTCCACTTCTCTTGCCATTTGGAGTTTGATTAAAAACAAAATGCGGACCACGTTATCACAAGTGCTTTCAGTACACATTTATTGCAGAGCCACAAGCATGACAACCATCTTGTCAACATAACCATATTTCCTAGCTGAGCAGGAGATCACCATTCCCAAGTGCATTTTCCAAGGAATCGGAGGCTTGTCTGGAAGCCCTGCACTGTGAGTGATGACTAGAACCCCTATTCTGAACTAGGAGTTCTAAACCATTAAACATTTAATTACCACTTTGGCAAAGCAATGCACATTACCATTTCCACAATGTAACAGCACAGAGATTTTAAATGCATCTTTATTTTTCAGAATCTTCAGTATTCACAATGTGTAAAACGAAGCAGCATTTTAAATAAAACACTATGCCAAAGCACAGTTTCTTAAAAAGTCCCGAGTGAAAGGAAGAAAAATTGCACATGAATAATATTTACCAGTGCTTACAGTTGACATTAACCATAGTTTTCTAAAAGGATAAAAATACTCAAGACTTCAACATTTCCTTACAAAAGTATAGTTGGCCATAAAATAAAAATCTATAAAACCCCAATATTACAAAAGTAAAATGCAAAAAAAAAATTTATTAAAATGTAATACAATATTTACATGGTAAGAATTATTTAAAAACACACAGGACACTTCATAGGTTGTAATGTGCTGTAATCGGGGGTGAGGGACTCATCACACATCCACACTCTGGCCTACCCTCCTGCATAGATCTACCAGGTGGCAGAGCTGGTGCCCACTGGTCCCCAGCATCTAGTTTCCACATGGACAGGATTTGAACTCCCTCCACGCACCCTTATATGCTGCACCATCTCTGCAGGGTGCAGAAAGTTTGCCCAGGCACATGGGATGTCACAGGAGGGGGAGCCCCTGCCTCCAAGGAGCCTGCATATAACCTTTATCTGCATCTTGGTATTGCCATTTAAAAATCAGGTCCTGGAGCTGGGAGGCATCTCAAGAGATGATCCCCATCCTCTGGGACAGTCCTGACCCTTTCTCTTGCTTTGATCTCCAGAGGCAAGGGGTCCATGGCAGCCTACTGGAGTACTATTTCATAGTGGCAGTCAGAAGTTCCTCTGCTGCAATCTCAGCTGAAAGTCATTTCCAGGACTGACCCAGATCCCCAAAGGAAAGGACTCTATTCTTCCAGACTGAAAAGGAGACAAGGGCTTCAGCACAGCCTGGGCCTGGCATGAGAGGTTTGGGGAGGAGTGAACTGGAATGAGATTCTAGGCATCAAGAAGGCCAAGGCCGGGTATGGGGAAGGTGGAGCCAGTTAGGCATGGTTGGGGGTAGTGGCTGCTGGACAGTCTCCAGTTCCCTGCGGCTGCTTCCTCTTCCTCCACCTATAGGCTGGCCCTGCCTACCTTTCTGCTCTGTGACGTAGTGCAGACCTTGAAAGCCAGATGACAAATGGCATAAGAAGACTAGGCCAAGTACTCCTCAACTTGAAAATAGAGGGAGAACAACAGAGCACTTGGGCTTTTGGACAGTGATTTTGGCTGGACAGGCTTTTTGACTCATTTCTGGGCATGTGACTGAGAGGGTGGAGGCAGACAGAAAGGTCTGAATGGAGGAAGAGATGGTAACTTTACTTACATCGAATCCCCTTGGACTAGCCAAGATGACTTTGCATCTGAGAACTGCTATGCAAAGTAGTTCCTCTGGCAGAGTGCATGGAAGACAACCAAGCGGTATGGAAGGCATGCCTTCATTTACAGAACATTGCTTTGGAGAGAGATTTGTGAAAGTTACAGATCTTGAACAAAACACAGCTTCCCTTGGGCAGCGGTGGATGTCTAGATCCATGCTGCTTTCTCAGAGCAGAATAGGACCCTCCCCTGTGCCAGTCAGGGCATCTGGGAGAACAGGGTTCCCAGATGGCTGGTTTTACCTTCTGGAATCCCCACATTCTTGGAGCCAGTTGCTCACATTTAAGTGACGGAAGGAAGTGTGAAATGTGGAGGCTGTTCCCCACTCTTCCTTTGGAGGGTTCTTTATACTGATTTGTTCTGTTTGTCTTGTCTCCCCTCTGCCACTCTTTCAGGACCCCTCCCTCCCACTGCCATTCTTAGAAAGCAACTACTTCTAAGGGCAAAAAGGAATGGCTCTGGAACAGATGACCGGGGAGGTTGAAGCATCTCCATCCCTTGAGAGTTGAAAAAACAGTTGGCCAGACACACTGCAGGCAGGATGAGCTTGGAGGCAGGAGACCAGGCCAGATGACTCAGTGTGAATGAGTCGATTTCTGGCTCTGCTTTCCAGAACCTGCTTCTACCATAACTCCAAACCTCCAAACCTCCTCTTCTACCTCAGTTTGGCAGACGTATTAACAAACAGGTCTACAGGGCTATTTTATTTTTGGTGGTGCTGGGAATTGAACTCAGGGCCTGTGTATGCTATGTACTTGTTCTACCACTGAGCGACACCCCCAGTCCTCAGGGCGGGTTTATAGTTCAATAACTCATCTCCTGTGGTCTCATGGATCTCCTTACATGGTTCCAACCTCTCCCTTGCTAGGCTCTTCTTCTGGCCTAATCTCATGCCTGAATGAATACTGGCAGATCTGAAATCGTTGGAAGTTTGTTGGTTTTCCCTAAAAACCTTTCCACTTATTTTCAAGCCATCAAAACAGATTTTTCTGCCTTTCCCTTCAAAGTTTGTCCACGGTTATTTTTTACTCAATGAAGGCCAACCTAAGTGTACATTGATAGGGATAAGCATGAAATATGTTTCTCTCTCCTTTTTTTTTTTTTGTACTGGGGATTTAACTCAGGGGTACTCGACTACTGAGCCACATCCCCAGCCCTATTTTGTATTTTATTTAGAGACAGGGTCTCACTGAGTTGCTTAGTGCCTCGCTGTTACTGAGGCTGCCTTTGAACTTGTGATCCTTCTGTCCAGCCTCCCAAGCTGCTGAGATTACAGGTGTGCACCACCACATCTGGCCTAGCACAAATTTTTAATGGCTCATGAAAACAGGATTTAGAATATATTTTCTCAAGAGAGTAAGACTCCACATACAGAAACTAAGACAGCATAGATATGAGTTACAAAAGATTCCAACAGCCCTTTTGGGGTGATTGCTGGCTTTTAGTTATATTTTTATGAATAGGCTCAATGGAGTGCAAATCTGAGGGCCAAGGTGACCTCTTATTTGTATCTTCATCCTCAGTGTCTAGCCAAGTGGCCAGCATAGAGCAGGAGCCCAAAATATACTGACTGAATTATTGGATACAGATTTCTCCATCCTGCTTCTTTTCCTTCTTCTTTTAAAAATCTTTATATAATCTGCTTCACCCAGTATTTGATACTGGCTATGATGAAATCCATGCCTGATTTTATTCTAGAATGTTGTTATGTTCAAATTATAAAGCAGAAGGAAAAGGATCATATTCTACTTTAAGATGAAAGGTACAGTTTGTGTAAGAAAATTAAAAGTCAAAAAAATTTTCAGAATCTAGATAACAAAAATTGGTAAAGGAATATTGATAAAGTACGACTGAGTAGGAAAGGCAATCAGCATCTGGTTCAAGACAGTCATCTTTCCCCCAACTAGACAGGCAGCAGGAAATGGATAGAATAACAGTCTCAAGGAGTTTCCATAACTTCCTAGCCCACAAGGAATAGGGGTTTGTAGAAGTTCCTAGTTTGTTTGAAAAGATAATGTCTAAACTGGGAGAACTAGTAGAAAAGTATCGAATTCACATGGTTTTCTGCTTTCTGCTGTGTGCGACTAACAGATATAGATCAGAGAACTATAAAACTCTTTAGCCCAAAGGAGAATCCACTCTGACCCTGAGAGAGGCACACAAGTCCACAGAGAATAGTCCACTTAACCAGGACAAAGGCCAGGCCTCCTACTTCCCAGGTAGTTCTTTGGGTTCATTGCTCTGTGTTAGAGTTGCAGTGAAGCTGCATGTACTACACCTGCAGGTAGATCACATCTTAACGTGCTTGCTCCTCGGCCCTCACCCAGGAAGGTGTTTGCATAGCTCTGCTGGAAGAATCTGGCCGTGTAGAGATGACATTGTTGCATCTCACAGTTGTTTGGTACCATAACTCTAGATAATAAGTTCAAGGATCCGCCTTGCTATCTGACCTGATGGCTTGATTTCTACAGCTGCAAATCCAGGCCACCTCACAATGAATCAAACCAGACTACAGGATAAGTGTCTGACTCTGGTGAGCAAATGCAGTACTCCCACCTGGCTCCCAGAATGTTTTCAACATCAGATGTCAGCTTTTCTCTTATTGCACTTGATAAATTTAATAAATCCTGCATTTCATATATAAAGTCCTACGGGAAAATAAACAGCACCTGAAGCTTATCTCCTACCACAGACACTGAAAAAGACATTTTTTTCTTGTTGAAATGTATGCAGCATAATATTTCATGTGTTCACGTGATGGGGGGGGCTGCTGCACAAATGGAACATGAAAGCACTGGGAAGCTCTTTAGTCTTACAGACTGCTTTGGTCATTTTCTAACACTGAAATAAGCATGGACTGGAATTTCTAAACTGGAAGAAACCTAGGGGAACATCATTATTCTATTCTCCCCTTATTTTAGAGATTTTCATAAGTGAGAAATGACTTCACCAGGCCTGGGATAAGAGCCAGGCCCTCGGGCTCCTAGGCCAGTGCTCACTCTTTGTGCCCTCTCTAGTTTAGTCCATGAGGAAATTGTGGGGCCAGCTCTCTTCCCTACTGCTGGTAACTCAGATAACCTGGTTCACACAGCTCACTTCCAAGCATATTCAGAAATAAAGAGAAATGACCAGAAAGGAGAAAGCTGGATGGGCAAGAGAACAGGAAAGAAAGAAGTGACCAAATGAAGCTAAATTCTTGTTCTGCTATGGTTCATCAGTTCTGCAGATTGCTTCAAAAGTAGGGTGGCCGCAAAAATATTAAGAATTACCAGAATCTCTATTTTAAAAAAATATGACAAGACACAAACTTATTCTCTCAACCTTCTGTTCTCTACAATATTGCAGGAGTCAAGAAAACCCTGTCAAGAAACTCTATTTGGATTCTGGGGAGGGTCATGTTTTGCTTTTTTTTTTCTCTCTCTCTCATAGCACAAGAACTTTACTTGAAGGCATAAGAATAGAAACTATATTTCCAATACAAATACAGAAGTGTGTATTGTATAAGAAAACAGGATAATGCATACTGGAATTCACTTTTAAACTTCAGCGTATGATAGAACTTGATGGTACAGAGCCAGGTGTGTGAAGTGTCTAAATTAACCACTGCTCTCCTTGAGAGTCATCTGGGGGGGGGTCTCAGAAACTCCTGCTTCTGCCCATAACGTTTATGCTGGCATGGTCCAAGAAATAGTTCCCTAAATGACTTTATTTAAAATGTCCTCTAGGAGAATTCATGATGACTATCTAGAGAGAAGAACCAGTGACACAGCACGTGCTTATGTAGAGGTGGACTTTGCTCTGTTCCTGTCTTGGCTATTTCATAGTTGTTATACATTCATGCATGCCTTGCGTAATTTAAAAAACTTGAAAAGATGTGAGAGAAAATTAAAAGGATTAATTCTGGCTAATACATTGATCATTTATGGAAAGAATGCTGGTCTAGGAGTTGGGGGCTCTGCTAAAACCCAGCTGTATCATTTAACATAAAAGGCTCTCTGTCTATCCTTTTATAAAACATGCTGGTTGGATTAGATCATTTCTTTCATTCTATATTCCTGGTAAGTAAATAAGAAGAAAGCTAATGTAAATTAGACAAGCCTAAATTAAATACTCTACTAATTTAAAATAATTTTCTAACATTAGGGTGAACATGAAGTATTTATAAGTTAGCCTTGCCAATTTGTTAAAGACTGTGAGATATCCTTTATAAATTAGGAGAGCTTTCAGGGCATCCTAAGAGTACTGCAATATTTGGGTAGATTTCTGGCAACCCCTTCAGGGTTCTGAGCCTTACAGTGCACTAAGTCCAACACATTTAGAGCTAAAATGGTTTGATGTGTCTTAGTATTTTATCAAAGTTGCTAAAACTCAATTTCATGCTTTCTTTCATTTTTTAGCTAGGCTTTAAAATTTTTAAGTTAAATCTTGTTCAATGAACAGAACAGCTAGGGCCGAGATGACTTCTGCTCTTTTAGAGAGAGGGCAGAGATGAAAGGCTATTGTTTGAGGTCTACCAGGTTCTAAGGCACATAAAGCAATTAGCTCATCTTTTAAAAAATGCAATAAATAATAACTACACACTGTCCAAGACCTTTGCAATTCCCATTTCAGGGAAATATTCTAATTTACAAGACTTAGCTGTGGGAACTGTTTAATCTTTTCCCTGGATTTACTTAGGTTTTGCTTATGCCAGTGTCCTGTTCAGGAGAGAGAAGCTCAGATGTGTGGCCTTGCTTTCCGCAGGAGTCTGGGGAGGGTTGGAGGTGAAGGTCTGTGCTAGAACATCAGGGCAAGGAAGCCAGAATTCTGGGCCAAAGCTGAATTCAGATTCATACAAGTTCTGGAAACTGAGATACCTCGGGCAACAAGGAGTCAGAGCCTCAGAAAAGTGTATGGTGAGAAGAGGCTGTTGTTGTTTCAGTTCTGACCAAGAAAGAGCTAAACTGGAGAGACTGAGAAACATGTAATTGTCCTTCTGTTCCCAGCCTCCCTCACTCCCAGCTCCCGGCCAGAGGTGATGCCTGGAGGGTCTCCTCACAGCCTGGTTTTCATTCCTAGAGCCTCTCCTAAGTCTGAGGCTCCAGTGGAACAAGGAGGACTCTGAGCAAGAATGGGAGCTCGGGACAGCTGAGAGGTGGGTGAGCAGACACTCGCCTCTGCTGAGCACAGGGCCCCAGGCCTGCTCTTAAACCAGCACCCCAAGTGAACTTCCACTCTTCTAGGATGGTCTCACACTTTCCCCTGAGTAGTGCTTATCTTTTTTTTTTTTTTTTAAGCGAGCGAGAATTTTTTAATACTTATTTTTTAGTTTTCGGTGGACACAACACCTTTATTATTTTTTTTATTTTATGTGGTGCTGAGGATTGAACCCAGTGCCCTGCGCATGCCAGGCGAGCGCGCTACCGCTTGAGCCACATCCTCAGCCCCAGTGCTTATCTTTTCTTATGGACTAGCAAAACTGCTTGATGGTAACAGAAATAAACTTTGTCTTATCCCCTTCTGTACAATAATTCCAAATTAATGTGGAATTGTACTCTTTTCTGTATTTATAAGTCTGATCAAGTGATCTGTTTCTCTAAGGTGACATTATATTGTTTTCTTCATGTCTTTCTTTTCGCAGTATTGGGGATCTATCCCGGGGCCTTGTGTGTGCGAGGAAAGTGCTCTTACTATTGGAAAGAATGCTGGTCTAGGAGTTGGGGAGTTCCCCATATCCCAGCTTCTGTACTTGCCTGGTGATATGGTATGATCATAGTAATTCCTGTACTTATTATTTCAGGGACAAAATTAATGTGATTCTTAACCTTAATGGAAAACAAATTTGCTATACATTTTTATTTGATCTTGAGTTTAAAATGAAGCTTGTATTCATGCAGATTGCAAGACAAATGCCTGGATTTTAGTACAAATAAGAGTTAAAAAAAACTAATTAAAAGATAAGTAGATGGGGATTTAATCTTTTCAACTTAAAATCCCTTAGCTTGGATCCTTCATTAGAGAAGCTTCATAAAAACAAGCTGTAAACATTCTCAATAATTAAACATGAATATATGATCCATGATAAAACCTGGCCCTGAGGCCATATGTTTAAATATACAAAATTACATGTGCACTTGATTCCCTCTTGTTGTTTTAATAGCTCCATCTTCCAGTGAAATGCACTTGTGTAATTATCTTATTGCTTTACCTCTACCATGGATCATATTAAAAACTGCTTCTTCCCATAAACTGTGAAGTATTAATTGATAAGCCACAGGGAACTTACACTATAACATGTCCTTACCAATTAATAATGCTGTTAGCTGAGTTTATGAGGACTGAATTATTCATCAGAATCTTTCATACAATGTCACTGCAAGTTAAGACTTAAGAGATGTTAGAGCACCTACAGGATAATGATTTATTTATAAATTTTACTTATAATCTCACTTGTAAATCAGTGATCACCTCGATTTAGTTCCTGAACTTTTCATACTCGATAATGACAATTCATTCATAAGCCGCATCAATTTTGGACACAGAAGAATATTCATTAACCCATGAAATGGTCTAAATTAACCTTCCAATTTGTGAGGTAAGGAGGAGAAACTATTTTGGGAATAAAAATGTGGGTCTTAGTTCTTCCTTTCTATTACACGGGGTCCTTCCTCTCCACAGTTTCTCTATCTGTGGATTTAACCCACCAAAGATAAAACATTTTTGAAAAAAAAATTGTACCTGTACTAAAGACAGATAAAGTTATTATTCCTTAATAACAACACAGTGTAACAACTATTTACATGGTGTTTACATTGTATAGGTAGATGATTTAAAGTATAGGGGAGGATTTAAATCAGTTATCTGCAAGTACTAATACATTTTATACAAAGGGTTTTGATCTCTGAGGATTTTGATATCTGTGTATGGGGGGTTGTCCTGGAACCAATCTTCCATGGATATTGGGGGATAACTGTAACTAATACTTTGGCAAGATACTTTATCTTTCTAGGACCATGTCTGTAAATTCTAAAATGAGGGCTTGGATTAGTGGAGAGTTAAGATTTCTTCCAGTTATAAGACTTCATTTGGGTTCTACAATGTGTGTTCAAAAAGTACAAAGATAACAGCTAGTCTATTTTGATGCAGGCTAGGAATAAAAACCAAAAAATTATGATTTGCAATGTTCAGATAAATAACATATGGTCCTCTCCCCACACACAAGCCTTTGGTTTTCTTCCTATCAGGCCTGGCAGATGAAATTTTGATCATTTAAAACAGCTGCAGTTTGTGATTAGAACAATGATCAACTGGAGGGGTAAGCCGACCTGGAGGGGACCGGCAGACTCGGCTTCCTGCACCTAGGCCAAAGAACAGTCAGTGCCTGGTCCAAAGCAAGAACTGTTAATCACTGCCCATTTGGGATGTCTTCCAGCTAATCAGTTACTGAGGTATGTATCATTTTGTATGTGTTATTCTGTACTTTGCTAAAAGTAGAATGAACTGTTAATTAAAATGTTTTGTCAGAAGTCTCATTATACAGGATTTGATATAGCATAGTCCTTAAACACAATGGTGTGTCTAAACCCCATACTCCATGCTTCTTTCCTGCTTTCTAAATGGAAAGGGGTGGTGGTTATTTAGCATCCAGGTCATGGCCTACTAATATCCTTAATGCTGACTTTCAATCATCTTCAAGAATTCTAACTTCACTTTATTTCATTTTTACTTAAGAAGGATGAGAGAGTCAATTGGAACCAAGACTAGCTTTCACAGGATTTCTTCTCTTTCCCAAATTCCTTCAGTTCTTGATGCTAAGTGAGCAGGTGGTTAGAAAGGGAGATGATTCAGGGCTGGGGTTGTAGCTCAGTGGTAGAGTGCTCGCCTAGCATGGTGAGGCACCAGGTTTGATCCTCGGCACCACATAAAAATAAAATAAAGGTTATAAAAAAATTTTTAAAAAGGGAGATGAGTCAAAGGTGAATGAAAGATGTTCATTTCGAGGGTTTTCTTATTTTCCTACTTTCACAATCAGAGTCTTGGAAGATACCAGGCAGTCCTAGAATCCTCCTCCAGGCCTGAGGTGAGTTAATGCATAGTCTTGAGCTTGCTAAGAGGGCAGGGCGAGGCATTTGAGGTGCTTGTGAAGCGTGAGGGTATGCACACATGCCCTGACAAGCAGGAGTGAGGGCTGCCAGCTTCCTTAACCACGCTTCCCCACCCTAGCTGACACAGGACTGGCTTACACTGTCCAGAAAGACAAGTAAAATACACACTTAGCTGAAAATGGTGTGACAATTTCAAGTGAGAGGAAAGAAGGGAGCTGGAGGAAGCAGAGAGTAATAAAGGTAGTGTTATTCTTGACTTTGGGGGAAGTGTTTGTTTTTTCTGTGTGAGGGGAATCGTGTAAATGTTAAACATTTGAGTTAGCATGCTACCACCACAGCGGATTTTATGTCATAGTGAAATCATGTCTGAGAGCTGTCCAATGAGTTACTGCTATTTTAAAAAAAATCTACCATTCATAGAAAAAAAATAGGTACTGGCAAAATGCTGCCCTCTCAAATATACTGACTTCATACAGAATTGAATATTTACAACCTGAACTGAAACACAAGGGTATGATTCAGAAATCACTCAACAGATTGGAAAATTTTGATGTTAGAAATTTTTGTTTTCAGGGTCATTTAATAAAATCTAACCCTGGTTAAATAACAGTTGGCGCTGAACTTTACTGCTTACGCCGCCACATGTAGGTTGAAGACACACATGCTCTGTGTGGTTGGTCATTTTGCTTTTAACAAAGTGCTCAGCCATAACGGAACCACACTCTTCATACAACAGTTACTGCAACCCTACCAAGCAGTTAGTCACCCTTACTGTAGATATTTAAGGGCCTCGCAGATGAAACTGTATTCAGAGAAACAAGGGTGAGTTGAGATGGAGACACAGTGCTTGTGCTCTGAAGTCCCTGGAAAGCACTTGATCCCCATGACACGGATGGCCAAAGGCTTCTGACCTGATTAAAAATGAGGAGTCATATAAGAAATGGCTTTATTAGAAAAAACATGTAGTGTACACGTGGCTAATTTCTATTATCGATATACTGTTGGCTATTTTGTCATTAAAATCTGATACAGGGTTTAAACTTCTTTAGAAGTTAGTGGCATTTCTTCCTATTCTGTCATGTGACCTCAGGAGGCGTTATCTTCATGTGATAGATGCCTTCTTTTCTTTTCATAATTACAGTTTATCAGTAGTTTAGCACTGGCACAAAACACAGAGGGAATTCCTTAGGTAGTGCTGAATGTGTAAGACGTCACTCTTCCAACCCCAAAATTGGGCACAGGTATGCCACTTGTAGAGTTTTAAAATCCCCTATTACCACTCAAGTCCCACATTATTATTACCTAGTAGTAGTTAAATTAATGCAATAATCTGTAACCTAACAAAACCTCTGAATGAAGTTTCTTTCTTCTCCTTTTTTCCTGTTAGATGTGCAATTCCAAGCAAATCTGCAGTGTGCAGTATTGATTTCCAGTCTCCATTCAAACTCCCTCGAGTCTGTGCTATTAAACTGAGACAACCACATCAAGATAAAGTCTGTCATAGGATTCCCTGAAGCACAGAATGAGGAGGAGACTGAGCAAACACGACCCGGGAAGGCACCAGTTGAACCAAGACAACTCTGTAAGACAAAAATGTGCAGTTTTAAGCATTCACGTAGCACTAGCAGATCACCACCTATATGGTGGGAGGAATCTGCTATGCATTCAAAAGCACTTATAATAAATGTCCCCTGGAAGGCTTGGAAACTGGCTTTCAATAAACAGTGATGATCTGGAGACTCAGTGATGTGTGTAATATAGGGCTTTCATGGGGAATATTTTAAATCAATATTGGTAATAACTTTTCATCAATTTGTCCACCTTGACTTGGGTTGTAAATCAATCCACTCCAAAGAAAAAAATGATTGCCTTTAAGTGTTAGTTTGTTAATTTTTAAAAATAGTTTTAGTTGTTAATGAACTTTATTTTATTTATTTATATGTGGTGCTGAGAATTGAACTCAGTGCCTCACACATGCTAGGCGAGTGCTCTTACCACTGAGCCACAACCCCAGCCCTGTTAATTGTTTTTTAAGTACCCCCTATCACCATCACTCTTGTCCTTGTTTAGAAATGTCTGAATTAAAAAGACAAACAGGAAAATCACCTGAATTTCAAGATAACACTTTTATATTTTGGGGGTTTCTGCAGAGAAATGCATATAGAAATATGTATAGAAATACACATGTATATGAACCTTTGCAAGTAACCAAAAAGAAAAAGAAATATGTTTCCCCTGTTCATCTTCATGTATTCCTATATGTATTTCTCTGCAGAAATATTAAGTATTAATCACTGAAAAATAGATTAGGAAATATATGGAAACATAAAAACTCAAAAAAGAAAAGATCAATCATAGTTCTCCCCCTAGAGAGACCACTGTGAGCATTCTGGTTTATTTCTTTCTAGTTGTCTCTTCTACTAGCATGAATGGTTATTATGTATGATGTCAATTATTGGAAAACCTACAGAAGTCATTCAAACAGGCAATTCTACCATTACCCGACTTAATGGTATCAAGGATTTGCTTCCTCAAAAATGCTCTTAGGAATTCAGGACTAACAGAACAATTTGGGGCCCCCTCGCTTAACACATTCCGCCCAACTATGGCTGCCCCTGGCTGCTTCCAAGAGCTCCAGGGACCCTTGAGTATCAGCACCTGTTCAGCTTCTGCTATCCCAACATCACATACCCATCAATCACAAGGCTTTGAAGTGAGCAGCTCCTTGGTGGTAAAGAGATTATTGTTGGGGACACTTCTCTAGATTAATATCCATTTATCATATCCAGTGAAAATGAATAGGAGAAACATATTTCTTTTTCTTTCTTTCTTTTTTTTTTTTTTGGTCACTTGCATAGGTTTATCTTTTGCTTTGTACTTCTACAGAATGCTAACACTCTTAATCTTCAAAATCATCCTAAAGATTTCCACACTGCTGCTTTAGTTTAATCCATAATTCATATAGCCTAAAAGAGCAATTTATGCTCAGGAATGGAAATCAGAAAACCAACCAATAAAGGGTAGCAATAGTTTTTTTTCCCCCCACAAAAGCATCCATCTCATCTCTCAGTTACTACATTAAGAAAAGAAAAAAAAAGTTGGGCATGTTATTCTATAGTGTGAAACAAGATGTATATTTTAATGGCATTTTTATACAAAGCTGTTTCCTGTGCTTTACTTGGATTGCATATAACCTAAATACTCTGAAAAGCTGTGACCTCTGGGATCTTGTGTTTATTCTGATATTCCTTGAAATGACACACCAGACCTTTGTTTGCTTTTATATTAACCATATAACTTGGATTTCTGATGATGTAGTAAAAAAATGAAAAGAAAAAAAGCAGTAAAATATAGACAAAAGCATATTGTCTGTATTCATAGTAAGAAAGGACACTGATTTCAAGGCTGCATTTTAAGCAACAATTCAAAGAAAGTATGATACTAACACCATGGTCTATGATCGCTAAATCTTAGCGATCATAATTTATGGAAGCCAAAGCAACACAAAGGTGGCAACCATCAACTTGTCGTTGCTCTTCTTCCATTGAGGAATTTGTCAAACTGCCAAAGCAGTCCGTTTATTTCATCAGAGTTGTAAAATTACCCCTTCTACCTGGGTCAGATGAAATCTCTAAAATGCCTCATAATTGCTCTTTAATATCACAGTTTGTTGATTGGTTTCTACTGTGTGCTCCTCTCTGAAAGGCAAATCCACCTTTCAGTAAATCACTTGTCTCAAACAACTGCAAGTGTTCTTTGAAATTTCTTGCCTTTTCAGAAAGCAGAAGGTCAGAGACAGGGAAACAGCTACATTTTCCCACTGAAAACCATTTACAGAAACCACAGTTTATGTGTTCTAATAAGCAGGAAATGGCTTGCTTAAAAATTTAATTTGGGGCTGGGGATGTGGCTCAAGCGGTGGCGCGCTCACCTAGCATGCGTGCGGCCCGGGTTCGATCCTCAGCACCACTTACAAACAAAGATGTTATGTCCGCCGAAAACTAAGAAATAAATATTTTTTAAAAAAAATTCTCTCTCTTTCTCTCTCTCTCTCTCTCTTAAAAATAATTTAATTTGGCTTAACATTTGCAGAGTCAATCACTGTCCTTTCTGAGCTCAATGTCACAGGACATAATTGAATCAACAGACTCCTGCTCCACTGAAGTGCTCCTATCCCAGCTTTTGTCTGGGAGCAGCTCACTGGCATTCCCTCCCTCCTCTGCTCCCTGGAGGAAAGCCAAATCCACACCCAAAGGCGGGAACACACAACTCATCCCCGCCTTTGTTGGTTCCCTGTCATCCACCATACCACAGTTGGCCCTCTCTTGGTCAATCCACAGTTAGGCACCACCTGTCCCTCAGTGCGGCAGTAGACTCTGCTAGTGGTGGTGCTTGGTAGGGACGGAACTCATTAAGATTTTGCTCATCTTCTTACCTCTTCCTTCTAGAAGCACTGTCACACTCTTCACCTTGTCTTCCCTCAGTGAGGTCACACTTTCCACTTAGACCACCTGCAAGTGCTTGGTTTCCAGTTACCACCCTCCTTTTCTTTCATGATGACTTAACAAAAATATCTCCATTTAAACCCAGGGTGAGCAGTCAGCTGACACCTCTATATTCCAGCTTAAAAGCCTGCTTTCTTGGTGCCAATTAATTACTCACTAGTTCTTACCACCTCCACACTGCACCCCTGTACTTCTTGGACATAAAATTACTTCGCACTACTCCACATCTGTTGAACCTGACCTTTGTTCTCCTGGTAACCATTAGACAATGTCTCCCACCTCAGCCAGGCCCCTAAGTCTTTTAGGTAATGGTGCAACCTCAAAATCAAAGTAAGCCACTTCAAAATCTTTGTATTTTTAGACAGAAATTGATGCAAAGCTTATAAAAAATACCAGATAACACAAACCACATAATATAAAATAGAATACATTTCAGAGCACATAAAGGACATAACAGCATTTGCAAATTGATTTTGTATATGAAGTTATTAGAAAAAAGCATCACTGTGCTGTCTCAACTCACTGAGATTCTCAAAGCAAACATTGTAGGAAACAACTCAGTTTTACAAATATGTTGATATTAGGGATGAAGATGAAGTAACTTTTTTTTTTTTTTTTTTTGAAAATGACCTTCAAAAATTCAAGTCAGAAAAACTCTAGGAAACTTCTGACATGGATTCAGGTACCCAAAGGAGAACTGAAATAGAATGTGCAGATACTGGGACTTGGGGCTCCAAATAAACCAGTGACTTTGGTATAGGAGCCTAAACCTGAGTAACAATTGCCCTCGATGACAGCAATGACCCTAATCTGCAACAAGTTGCCAGTGGAAACTACCTTGCTAAGTGAGGCATTCAAATGGATCATTTTGGGGATAGCTGCACAGTTCTGAAAAATTATCTGATACAGTCACCCCAGATAGCACTCCGTGGGTGGGGAAAAAATCCTAGTCAGGAAGCTTAGTAGTACCTTGAGAAGTGACCAAAAGCACTACAGATTTTTATGAATAAAAAATTAAGGACTTCTTCCCAGGCATGGTGTTGTGCACCTGTAGTCCCACAGTACTCAGGAGGCTGAGGTAGGAGGATTGCTTGGGCCTAGGAGATTGAGTCTGGGCAACATAGTGAGACCCTGTCTCTTAAAACTACAAGAACAAAACAAAACACCAAGACCTTCTTAAAAGAAATGAAAGAAAAAAAAAAAAAAAAAAACAACCAGGCCTTGTAATCATGTAACTAATACTTGAATTTTTAATTATAACTACTGGGTGAGTTGCTCAAGTTTTAAAATTGCTGAATTATGACATATGAATACTGGCTCAATTGGAAAGAAATTCAGTTTATCATATGAAAATGTTTAGTGTACTAGGTTGCAGAACTAGAATTTATTTTTAGGAAACAGTTTCACAGAATTTTCAGATTTGCTATTTGTATATTACTATATCTCATTCCATAAAGAATGGGGGCCTGTTCTGCAGGATTTTTAGGACAGGATCAATTAATCATATGTGAAAAGAATTTCAAGAGTGATTTCATGGTTCCAACGACTTTGCCTTAGAAATGTTGATATCTTTGTGTGTATTCTTCTAAAAAATTTTTTATCTGTACATGGACATAATACCTTTATTTATCTTTATGTGGTGTTGAGGATTGAACCCAGTGCTTCATCCATGCTAAGTGAGTTCTCTACCACTGACCACAACCCCAGCCCCTCTTTGTGTATATTCTTATACAGACCTACAAATATATACACAAGAGCACTTCTTTAAAACAGAAGCCTAGATATTTAAATTCCTAACATCAACCAACTAATCATTTAGAAGGAAACAAAACAAACACTTGGTGAGTGCCAGCTATTCCTTGGACATACAGGCTCTTTCATACAAATCATCTTATCAACTATCAAAAATGCCAGAGTTTACTGAGACACCCCTGTGTCCCAGAAATTATATTGGTGTATTAAAATTACTATTTCAAATTTCATGAGGTCACAATAATCAGAGTTTAGGCAGAAATCTTTTAATGCCTGTTCAGGTATGTATAAGACCATGTGATCAGAAAGCACCTAAAAGGAGGGAAGACTTTTTTTTTTAATCCCAGCCAGATAAATCCCTGATTGTATTTGTAAGATGAGAATTAGTTAAAATGGTGTTTCTTCAGTTACCTAGCAAAGAAACAAAAATATCTGCCTGAAGCATTTGGCCATTGTGAATTTGCAAAATGAGGAGTGGACAATAACTAATAATAGTTACAGTTAAGTTGTGCCAGATATCAGTCTCTGTTGTACAAATCAAAAGCTATAGCTGGACCTAGGAGAGTAACAGATACTTTACTGACTTAGTGAAATGCTCAGGGATGCACGGAGTTTTTCTGCAGTCAGACAGTGCTATGATTTGAGTGTGTCCTCCAAAGATTCATGCATAGGAATCTTGGTCCCATGTGGTGATATTAAGAGATGGTGACTCTTTTAAGAAGTGGGTCCCAGTGGGAGGTTATTACTGCCCTTCCTCTCTCTAGCTGGCTATATTGCCATATGATTTCACCCTCTTACATATGCTCCCTGCCACTGTGATACCATGCCATGCTATCTTCACTAGAGTTGATCTGATGCAGTCTCCAAAAGTATGAGTTAAATAAACCTCTTTTCTTTCTAAAGTACCCAGTCTCAGGTATTTTGTTATAGCAACAGAAAACTAATATAAATATTTTAGAATAGTTGTCATTATTGGTGTTTTCCCTGCCTTAGATCAATGAATATGTGTTTTTTGTACACTGGAGATCACAAGCAAGATTTATTGGAGAATATCATTGTCTGACATCTACTGTTGTTTGTAAATACTGTAAGGACAACACTCTATTTCTAGCTGATTGGGAAAACCATGTCTACTAGGCCATTTAGCAAACCTGTGCCCATCAGCTAGAAAACTGTTTCTATTGTGCTAGGGGACTTCATAGCCATCTCTGATGTTTTGCCAGGCAAAGAGAAGCAATAAACCTCTTAATTTCCAGGGTGACACAAGTGAACTAGATTAATACTTATATGTAATAATTGTCATAAGAGTCTGTTTAAAAAGTGAATTGGAAGCAAAGATCATCCAATACCTGGTGATGACATTTTTCCTTACTGGAGACATATTTCCAGGACAATAAAGAGTGGATTCTGTCTGTATTATCACTCTCCTTCATTGGACACCTAACCTGCATCAGGTTTAGCAGAGTTAAGGCCTACTTTATCTGCACTACTGACTTACAGGGACAATCTAGTTTGTTGTTAATTATATTATGATTCTATCATTTGGATGCTTTTTGCATTTAGGAGAGAGTGCTATCCCTGAAGTTGTCCAAAACCCAGGAAGATCTGTTTCATTGCTTTGAAAATTTTAAAAATTTATTGTCTAGTCAAGGAGGTTAACATGGTTATTATTTTAATTATAAGCCTGTCACAAAGTTCTTTATAAACAACGTGGCCTCTTGAAGTGTCATATTTTAGAGCACTTCTTATATTGTGCAACCTCTTATTCATCCTTATGGCTTTAAACTACATACATCCTCTTGACATTAATTTACACTCACCACTAGTCCTCAATAAGAAGCTGAATATTAGAGTTATCTATCTGTCCAGGGGGTAAGCTGGGAAGAGATTTTTAAAAATACAAATGCTCAGCATCCATCAGGTTAATTCAGAAACTCTGGGGGTGAGGATGAGGGTGCATGTAGGCTACAATACATTTCAAGAAACATAATTGTGGATTTTGTTTTTATTGGCATGTGAATACTCACATAATTGGTTTTAGTGAGCATTCTCCATATAAAGTTCCTATATTAATGCCATGAACCTCTACAATAACACATTGAGATAGCAAATAAAAATCAAATTTCTTACCTGTATGATAAAATGTGAGAAAAAATAAAAGTACTCCCATGAACATATTACTTAAAAAAGTGACGACTCCACAAGTAATTCCTTCTGGAACTGGGTAGACAGTTTCCACAAAAAGCTCAAAAAATATAGGTACACTGCTATTCAAGAAAACTCCCAGGAGAATACAGGAGGCATACAATGTCACTGAAATAAAAACACAAACATTTGAGTTCCGTAGCAGCAGCAATGAGTCAGAGCAAATAGATCTTCTGAGTGTTCTCTTTCCTAAGTACCAACTCTGGAATCCCATCTCTCTTCAGTGGTAGTTGATAATGCTGGACAAAGTATCCTACATTTATAAGCTCTTGGCTCAGATTTTCTGGAATAAGTTTGGAAATGTTTTGTTGCTGAATTATTACCAGTTTATTTGCTTTACCTTTCTGGTGGCTTATTCCACAGCACTAAAACAATATGCCACTGTAAAATAATTAAAAGAACTCTCCTCTGTCATACTAAATATACTCATTTTACAATTTTAAAGATAGCTTAATATCTAAGAGTAACTGTAAGAAATATTAAATGTAACTGAAAATTATGCATTTAAAGAGACTGGTTCATAATAGGTTTCAAATACAAAATAAACATCATTCAGTATGCAATTCCTAGAGAAATGATTACAATAGGATTAGTTCTCAATTTGGGAAAGAGTTTTGTTTCCATGATTTCTTTTTAAATAAGGAACTCTTTCATCTAGAAAAACATAAATTTATAGCAATCAAGATTCCAGATTAGCTCCTCAAGTTCATTAACACAATTCTGCAATGAAATCTTGTGATAAAGTATGTTATTCATAATATTTAGAGAGGAGCAATTCATTCTAAAAAATTTCTTCCTTTTTAATGACTATCTACAAACTTTCACTAATTTGAAGGTGAAACCAGACTCAATGAGGGAAACTGATTCTATTTAGAAAACTAAAACTGACACCTATATCCTAACAAAGATATCATTCTAGCTGATAAAAAAGAGTAGAATTTATTCTAAGCTTAAGGTTATAAGAAAAATATTTTTAAGAAAAGTATTTGTTAAGAAAAAGATCCCCCTCTCCACTACCTTCTCCTTTCTCTCTTTGGGGTACTGGGGATACGTTAGCCCAGAGGCACTTTACCACTGAGCCAATCTCCTGCCAGTTTTTAGTTTCGTGAGACTGGGTCTCACTAAGTTGCTTACGGCCTTGCTAAGTTGCCGAGGCTTGCTTTAAACTTTCGATCCTCCTGCCTCAACCTCCCTGAGGATCACAGGCATTTGTCATGGCACCCAGTTAGAAAAATGTACTTTTATAGGGACTGCAAGAGGTAAGGGAGTGCCATTAAATCTGTTATGTACTAGGTTAATGGAGCACATCAAATCCCCAGAACTTACCATTACTGATTATAATCATTAATAGTCAGTCCATGACATTGTCAAAGGGGTAAAAATAGTACCCATTGATTTCTAACAGAATTCCTCTAACCTAGCTGCTGCATCCCTCTCCAATTACACTGTGTCTTTATTTCCAAGACTATGAAATATTTAGTACATTCTAATAATGTAAATAAATGGTAATTACTTTGACTTCCTTTTATTCCTTAAAATAGTAGTCATGAAAATAGGAAATAAAAGAATGATTTAATGAAAAAAGAACATACTGCTGGGTAATACAGTGACCAAATTATTCACAGAATTACATGGGAAGCACTGCATAGTTATATAAATACCATTTAAAACATGACATAATTTTGAAGACACTCTTAAAAACAAAGCACAACCTACCATCTTGTGATCACTATATATTTGCTAGACATGGATCACACAAATCAATGTACTCTACTAACACGCAACTCATTAGTGTACATTTGGAAATCTAGGGATGAAATATCACTGGTGGCTTTTATAGAGTGCTGCTGCCAAAACACTTTACAATAATATATTGATCAGTCAGTGGTAATCAGGCCAGAGAGGACTACTGACCAAATATAGTTGAGCCTAGGAGTTTAAAACAAGCAAAATATTGAAATAGATGACAAGAAAAATCAAGCTTTTAGGAACCAGTAAGTGCTATTTCTGAGTATAGATTCATGAACCACTGATGGAATTCGCTGTTTTGATAATCCATTCTATGTTATTTTGTGTTATTATTTCTGAAGGAACTTACCCTACATGTAATTGTAATCAGGCAAATTAAAATGTAATAATTAAAAAAATCACAATCTATATATAATAGAATTATATATGGTAAAAGAAAGAATGAAAATATAATGGTACAGCATAGTGAAAGGGGATTATTGGTATAGGAATTTGAAAAAAGAGATTTGATTTTGCTGCTTTTTGTCAAGCTTGGTACAAAAAAAAAAAAAAAAAAAATGAGACCTGGGATGTGTGAGAAGGTAGAGGCTGGCGAAGCCGAGGCCTTGCCTGGAACCCCTCAAGACCATGCAGCTCCCTTGGCCCTCATTTCATGCTCATTAAGAATCTCTGAATTTTGGTTTTCTAGGTATTTAAATTCTGGCAGTGATTTGGAAGAGGGGCATAAATAACTGTCCTTGGAAAGATAAAAATTTCTATAATGTTTAAACTTTGTTGATTAAGCTATAAATAGTTCATCTTTAGGTGAGCAATTTGGAAATGACTATCAAAACAAAATAAATATGCTTACTCTTTGAGTCAGCAATTCTACTTCTAGAAATTTATTGTACAGCTATGCAGGCATAGGTACACAAAAAAACACTATCAAATATTGTTTGTAGTAAGAACAGATTAAAAACAAGCTAAATATCTATCAGCAGGGAGTTGGTTGGTTAAACATTCATGAAACATTCAAAGGTACACTGAGCAACCATTAAAAATGAAGTAACAAGCTGGGGATGTGGCTCAGTGGTTAAGTAACCCTGGGTTCAGTCCCCTATACCAAAAAATTAAAATGAAAAAAATAAAGTAACTCTGTAAAATACCAATATTAAGGGTATCTAAGATACATAAGTGAAATTTAAAAAGGAACTGAAAAGTATGTTTTAAATAAAAAGAATGATGTGCATCCTTTATCTGTTTGTAAAGATACAGTATTCTCTGTGAAAAAGCAGAAGAGATTGGCCATCAGAATTGTCGCTAGATGGGAAGCTGGGGGCCACAGAAGAGAAACTTTTCCCTTATACTATCTTTCTACTATTAGAAATTTTTACTATATGAAGATTTTATCCATTTAACAAAATAGAGACATTTCATTGTAAACGAATACACTGACATCTGATACAACTCCACTTCAAGTGTTTGTTACTTCCTTAACTCAGACGGTTTTCACTGGATCCCAAAAACTTCATGTCCACCTAGGAGCAAATATCCCAACAAAATCCTTAAGATAAATATTTCTACTTTACTTATTAAAATTCCTATAATGTGTAGGTTTTAGTCAGCTTTTTTTGCTGCTGAGACTAAAGGACTTGATCAGAACAATTGAAGAGGGAGAAAGTTTTATTTGAGGGCTCATGGTTTCAGAGGTCTTAGTCCATAGAAGGCTGGTTCCATTTCTTGGGGCTCAAGATGAGGCTGAACATCATGGCAGAATGTGTGGCAGAGGAAGCAGCTCACATCATGGTGATCAAGAAGCAGAGAGAGAGATACCATTCTCCAGATACAAAACGGGTAAATACCAATATAGGTACATACCCCATAGCCATGCCCAATTCCCACCTCCTCCAGCCACACCCTACTACTTCAATTAATCCCATCAAGGATTAATTCACTGATTGGGTTAAGACTCTTACAACCCAATCCTTTCTCCTCTGAACCTTCCTGAATTGTCTTGCTTGTGAGTTTTTGGGGGACACCTCACATCCAAACCATAACAACGTAGTAAAAAGAGGCTATTATAGGTGGGATAAATTATATGTATGATAAATGGGTGATATAACTATTTTGAGGCCAGTAATAAAAAAATCAGGCTGGGAAAAAAACTCAAGTTGGGAATGTTAACTCTGTGGTAGAGCACTTCCCTAGCATGTGCAAGGCCCTGAGTTTGACACCAGTACTGCTGCATTTAGCTGCCTCAAACTTGGTATTTGCTTCTTTTATTAATATAAAAGTGATAACCAAGAGAGTTTTTAAAAACATTGCATGGATATGCTGAAATCATTTGAAATCACTGCAGAAACTAAAAAATCAAAATAATTTACCACAGGAAAGGGTTAAATGAAGATCTTCAAGATTAGAATGGGTGAAAGACAGCAGTGTCAGGACTGATTTAATATATTCCCCAGTGTTCTGGGACATGCATAAAGTAGAAACTGATTGTTACAAGTCTGAATTTGACTTCTATTTGAATTTTCAGTTTAATGTCTGATATATCCAGTGGGTGAATGTCATCTGTTGAAAGCCCGGCAGACAAGATAATTTCCTGCTCGTCAGAGAGAGTTCAAACCATACGATCCTTAAATATTTCCATGACTTTCTGTAACGCTGATACTAAAATTATAATAAACTGCCTTTCAATTAAAAAGTCAAGGCAATTTAGCAGAACAAAACATAGCTGAAGTGCTGATGCAGATTTTTTTTTTCAAAGAAGCTAATGACATTTCCTGGGTCCACAATTTAGATTGCAAAAAACAAAATCCTGTTTAGCACAAAATCTAGTTGCAAAGGATGAATTTCAACCAAATGAATTAGACCATAAGCCTGAAAGTTCTCATTCCCATGACAAACCAGATTATTAAACTTTAGGGAAAGAAAACTATTTTTATTAACTAAAACACTCAAACCTTACATGATAAGCAGCTATAAAACAAGTCACAAAATTCCAGTAAGAGTCATTCCACTTGGCAGCTAGGTGAGAGTCTCAAGACACCATTAATAATAATAACAACTCAATAATCTTGGAGTTATATAAATTTTCAAAACAGCCTTCACTTTTATTTGATCATCCTCTCAACTCTTTGAGGCAGGTAGATTAACTGATCAAAGTTCTGAAAGTCAAACATAGCTTATTTAGATACAATGTGAATTAGTAGTGTTAATAATAATATAATTAAGTCTTACAGGTTCTAGCATGTTTTCTGCCAAGTCACAGTATCAGACTGAAAAAAAAGAATACCAAGGCTTGGTACTATTTAATTCAATAGGATTTACACAAGTGGCATGCTCCCCACATCTGTATTCAACAGGAAAGCTGGAAA